CGAAATTCAAATCAAACAAACAGAAGCCCTGGCGTATTAAATTCAATATACGCCGTTCCTGTTAAAACCCGATATCTCAATTTAAAAAACACTTTCTGAAATATTTGGTTCTAATAAAATGTAATTCGAAACGTTTCATATTTAAGGTTTGGAATAAGACAGTCAACTGTAAGTGTATAGTCTAGTTGATTTATTATCACTATATTTTAAAGTATGATATTTTGTGTTTATAAAGAGTCAAAGGAAAACGATAATCAGTTTTTAAATATTTAACCTACCCCCCCCCCTTTTTGTTTGAAGATGTGCCTTTTTATTTCAAATACAGTCAATAGATGGCGTGCACAAACATCCTTTCACACTATTTCCTACCATAGTGGCAGACTAATCATCAAGGGTTACCAGTATTCAGAGAGAAGTTAGAGTGTAAAGCATACAGTTGTAGGGTAAGAATGGGGTGGACAACTTATATTTTATTCCTCTTCAATGTGATCGTCAGCTCCCATATACACGGTAAGGAAATCCAATACTTTTCTAAAAAAATTAACGTCATATAAATGTTATTTCCTCTCCTTCTAGTTTTTTCTTCAAAGATATTTTCAGGGTTATATTATACACTATGTACATGAATGTTCCATTTAAAACATAATTTTTTTGGACAAAAAACAACAAAACACGCAACCACAAAAACGTATTGTTGGCCTATACTCAGAGTAACTATTTACATAGAAATTACCGATACAACGATACTAAGCTCTTAGGCTTCACGACATGTAGATGTGCCTTTTACGGCTAAGAGATCAAGCCTTGTCTTTTGCTTCAGATCTGGCACATCCTTTGAGAAAACTTGCTACAAGGAACGGAACGAATGACAGAATTCTTCCAGTTTTTATTATCATATAAAGCCAATATCACTCATATTACGACTTATTTACTACTGTATAGACACATTTTGTTTCTGTTTTTATTTTGAACGCATACATGGTTTGTAGTTGTTTTTATACTGATTACATCTCGATCCTTTATGTAAATGATAAATAGCGCCAATGCATTATATTTTAAACCTTTATTGTACAGCATTATGCACAACATTGTTTATGAACAATTAAAATTAAAATACAGATCTATTTAAGGAAACATTTACAAAAGTACAGTTTTAATCGTTAACGGAATATGAATTTAATGAAGAACTCTATTGCAAAATGAATGTCTAAGACTTGTTTTGAGCTATTCAACTAATGGTATAATTTGCAATACGTTGATTTTATGCAGTAATTTACATCATATTGAATCGAAAAAAACCAAAAGCTAGAAAGAATGAATAATGAATTATTACTCGAGTAATGTCAGCAATTTAATGTAACGCAAGCAATAAAGTGAAATGGATATTTCTATCATATATAATATAATTTCGTTACATTAATATTCTTCCAATACAACAACAAAAAAAAACAATACGCAAAGTTATTAACATAGAATTCAACACAAGGTTAACCAGTGCTCTAGTTTAGATTATTATTGTTGTCTTACTGTAAAGTCTTTAGCATCATTCTCTATTAGCTGTCATAGAATCGCTCGTTGTTAGTACTAAGTTGTGTCATATAACATTACCTAAGGATTAATGACAAAATAATGACTTGACATTTGTAGAGGAACATTCCATTTTTCCGTTTATCATGGAAGTGTAGCGGCTTTCAGGATTTCATAAAAGAATAGTATAAATGTCCGTCATGGAGTAGCATTTCATCTCTTCCGAGTGAAAATATAGTTGATCTGTATGTCACGGGTTAACATTTCTCCATTTCTCATAAATGCGCAATTAATTCGTTCGTCATTAAATTTTTCCAGTCCCGAAAGTGCATTTGATTTGTATATCATGGAATAACATTTGATTAAACTAGTCTTAAAAGTACACTTGATTTGTTTATCATGGAATATCATTTGATTTTACTAGCCTTAAAAGTACACTTGATCTATTTATCATTTAACACTTGATTTTATTAGCCTTAAAAGTACACTTGATCTATTTATCATGGAAGAACACTTGATTTTACTAGCCTTAAAAGTACACTTGATCTATTTATCATGGAATAACATTTGATTTTTTTAAGCTTTGGAAATACACTTGATTTGTTTATCAACTCTTGTTTTAATATATCTGACGTGAAAATACAGTTCAATAATCGACTATTGGTTGCAATTTTTCTCTCTTCTTATTAGATACAATTGGTGTATCTGTCACATATACGCAAGCCTATCATGGAAAAAGAGTTGAAAAGTCAGTCATGGCAGGATATTTTATCTATCCCTCATGAAATATCATTTGCTACGTACAGCAAAGAAATGAGAAATCTTTTTGCTTATCAAATAAACAAATTTGTCCTACTTTTTACTACAATTCATTAATCAGTCTATTATGAAAGGTTGGCTGAACTCACGGGCATAAAAACTGCTATCTATCTGACAAGTTCGTATAGTTGATCAGGTAATTAAGGAAAACTGTAGATTAGTGCATGAGGAAAGTATATAATCATTTGCCAATTCATTGAAAATAAAATGAAATATGAACCATGTAAAAGCTTCGGTATAAAACACATTCGGCTCATGTCCTCAACTGCTTAAATAACGTTCATTGTTCTATAGCAGTGATATATTTACGATCAATTCTGTTATCACTTCATCAGTTGGGTAAACTCTAAACAGTTGGTTTTTGTATATAGTCATATTTTTATGTTAACATGTCAAAATATTGGCTTTTAAGCATAAAACTCTTTTAGATGGTTTGATAATAGCAGCTAAAGTTGCTAAATATACGATATATGCATGTTGTTCTATGTTGGATAGAGCTACTTTATTAATACTTACGTTTTTGAGTTTACTTACTGATTATAAGTATTATTTTGTCACAAGTTATGACTTTTACAGTAAGGAAGCATATTTTTAAAACAGATACGACGTTTCGACCACTGATGCGTCGCTTGTGTACTTGAGAATGATCACACAGGTGATCGAAACGTCGTATCTGTTATAAAAATGTTCTTCCTTACTGTAAAAGCTGTAACTTATAAATTAGGGTTACTTTTTGTTCTTTGTTTGTTAATCATGTGGCTGTATTATTTTTGAAATGAAATGGATATTTCTATTATATATAATGGAATTCTGTTACACTACTATTTTACGTATATGCACTGATGCAAGTTAAACTGTTCTATACATGTATAATTATATAAACTAAGAAGAACTATAAAAACATTTGTGTAAAATGAGAGTGCATGACTAAAAATAATTTATTATTTACTAGTATTCTATAAATTGGTGGCTATTTCGTTATCCAAAACAACTATTTTCTTAGCGCACACTCCATGCTAATAAAATGGAGCGAACATTCCACGTAAATAATCATTTGATACTATAGTAGGTTTATTAAAACTCATTAATATTACCAAATTCTCCTATTATGCAACATCAAATTAGCGAAACAATCGTAATTTATATTATCTAATTCCATTATATATAAACAATTCTGCTTCCTTTTGCCCAACTGCACACGCACACAAACACACATATATACACACAATAAAGCACTAAGTAAATCTAACACCTCAGGAGAGTTCAATTCGAAAGCATCTCTAGAGAGCTTAATTCAAAAGCAACCTAATTTCAAGACAGCCAGGCTGTTAATAAAGATCGTTGTACAATCAGAAGATGATAATAATTATAATAATTATAACACCAGTATAGGAATTACAATCTGAAAACCTTAAAATGTTTTCTGGTGCGTAAGATATATAAGAAGGTAGGACTGCAACACCAAAGTTTCGGAGACATATGATGTTTAATGTCTTTACGAAATATTCACATATGAAATCTACTTATATATAAATTAGGTGCAGATGTAAGCGCTGAAGATATCAAATTGTAATTTTAGTTTTTATTGAGGTTTACGGACCTCAGTAACCACATTTGTTCCTGATGCTGATTTTAAACTTAATTACATATAGGTGATTTATGAATAGCGGTTAAAGCTTTAAAAATGGATCCCACTTCCGCAGATCCCAGTACATTTTACCCTGTATTACGCGTGCGTTAATCCAGGTCAGAACTACAAAAAGATCAGTTACAAGAAACCAATCATAATATAGGTGTTTCAACATGTTATTATTGTTCATAGCAGCACATTGTATTATTAGAGGCTGAAAGCATATGTAAAAAATGAGGAGATCTGAATGAACATATTTTTATTAGATGACTATTTACAAATTCTATTATTGTTATTATTATTATTTTGTAATTGTACTGTTTTCGTAATGCAATCGAAATAACTTTAGATTTAAATCCGAAGTCATCTTTTTTAGGGCAATAATTTGATTTCCCCTGATAAGTTTACGGACTCCGAACGCTAAAATCCAGGCTTCAATTCCCTGCGGTGGACACATCAGATAGCTCTATGTGGCTTTGCTCTTAAACACACATACAAACAACAAGAACAATAAGGTGTTAGGCTAGTAATTTTATAAAACTACATCTAAGATTAGGGTTATACTTACTTGATATAGTCTAACCTAATTAGAGAAAGCTGATTTTAGGCTCAACACATAGTATTCCTTAGAATTTCAGTATTATAGATTTACATTAATAAAATATATATCCATCTTTTTCTCTTGTATTGTTTTGTAATTAGCTTGTAATGAGAAATCACTAAAGTATGAAGCATAATACTTAAATATGAAAAAACATTTATCTTCGACTTCTAACAAAAAGTAAGAGCTACAAAGATTGTAAAGAACTTCATGGATCACAGATCACAAGCTTACAGTAAGTCTGTTTCAACAAAACTCGTTTCAGTTTACAAGTAAAAATCAATTCAATTCACCTTAATGTGGTAAAACTAAAATTACTCTTAACATTACTTCTTTACTGTATGATTACTTTTATCTGCTACACACTAGTGATCCATGGCCAATGATAAACATGGCAACAACCTAGACAAACTGCGTGAAAAAAAATGGTTTATTAGAATTATTCATGATATATAAATATATATGCAGAAGTTATCACTTTTGTCAAGCATTTTTGTCAACATAAAATAAAGCCGGCAAATGATAAAAGTTATAAAATTTAAAATTACTGCCAATTTTTTATACAGTACTTAATCTTAGGTGTCACTTCAATGTCTAATACACTTATTTTCAATATTTGAGTAAAACGAACGCATTATTCAGAAACAATCCCAATTAAAGACTTTAAACTATAAAAGTTGAATTCTTTGTAGCATCTGTCATATACTATATTATGATTAATTTCCGTTAGAATGGTTCGATGTTACACTACTTAACGAATTTATCGAGTTTTGAATACCTAATCCTTTTTTTTCTATCGACACTGATGGTTATGAATGATGACAGTTCGGGAAACACTGGATTTAAAAAGATGTTCAGCTTAACCATTTTCATTTCGATACCTTTTCCACTTCGAAGGTTGATTTTTCTTTTCGAAATGAATTTTACCATATT